AATTCTCATGAATGATTTTATTTGAAAGCTTGACAGTTTAAATGAGTTCAGTAAGCGATACACTCGTGCCCACCCACTCTTATTCTATAATGTCAACTAATGTAATGTAATATAATGCTAATCTTTGGTCCTTTAACAGCTCTATCACACAGCTACTAGGATCTGGCAATGCCTTAGTTCCGTCTCAAGTGACAGTTGAGTACTCTTCCTATTAGTCCAAAATTCTTTTATGTCCATTTTGGCTTCATATATAGGAGTATATATTTATATATTTTGGACCTGTCAAAATGAAATATTCAATTATTCATAACTATATATTTTATACAATACATTAGTATTTTTATGCACCATTTAGTATGTTGAGTAGATGTTTTATTTTTGGAAAAATTATACTTTTCTATAAAAAAGTTGTAGCCATGACCTTTAACTTAACCTTACAGATCCTATACCATGATCTTCTCAGCAGTGAAGCTGCAGTCAGCCAAATAACATGCTGCATAGTCCTGCAAACCTTGGACTGCAGGACAAAGTTCCACAAACTGAGCATTAAATAACTTCAGATATTTGTTATGTTTACTGCATTATATCTTCCACAGTATTCTGCAGAGGCTACATGTCAGAACTGCAGTTTATCTTAAGTAATGACAAATAGTAAATCCTGCAACAAAGCTGATACTCAGCAACAGATCTGCTTCTTGTTCTCAAAGCTCGCTCAACATACCTATAAATTTAACACCCATGAAATTCCAGTTATGCATTGAGACAAATATGCAGTACTTTACACAGACTGGGTTATTCATATCTAACTTGCTACACATGGAGAATGTGGCTATAATATCACTGGAAGGCTGTTCAATGTTCATCTAGAGTTATTCAAGATTCCTACAAGTGACTGTAACAGCAGGCTAGCTGTGAAAGCAGTGACATATTTTTCACTTCTGCAGTGCAGAATTAATTAATGGAAACTGAACGTCTTGATTTTATCAGCTGTTAAAAAGATGAATTCAAAAACAATTAATCAAGACTGATAAAAAATAGACTTTTTAAAATCTAATACCGAGAAAGGTCAATATAAACTAAGTAAAGCACCATATCTAGGAGATAGAACTGACTCGAGGCTCCAAGAGAGCCTGAAGCAAGACTAGCTTACTTATGCTGTTAATCAGAAAAAATCTGTGGACATTGCTTGTGACAATCTGCTCACAGAGCAGGTCTTTTCTAACCTAACACTTAGACCATGAGCGCGGTAACATATCTGTGAAGATTCTCTGTCATCTAGGTCATTGTCAAGCTTGAAAAGTTCAATTTTGGCAAATGGACGTGAAGTTTTGTAGAAGATATTTCTCCTCTCATTCAAGTGGCTTCTTTAGTTCTAAGTGGCGATTGGGAACACTGAGATTAATATACTGTAGGTGTAACAAACGAATAAGGGGAAAAACAAAACATGGCTCTAATCCCTCCCATTGCATTGGCCATGGAGGTAACCTGGGGGTGTTAATGGTCATTAAGAGGGAGTTCTGATAGGTTGTTCACTCCCTCATCAGAGTGGTTTAGGTCCAATGCCTCTTTGAAGTCTAAGTCAGTTGAGGGCAAGTGAGAGGTAAATCTTCTGGGAATAGTTCCTAAAAGTGCTTTGTAGGTACAGTACAGGTGATATCTAAGGCCACCTCTTCTGTTAAGAGATGTTTTATTCAAGGTTAACAAAGATTACTTCCTTAACCCCTCTCTCAAACCATCTGTCTTCCTTGGGTAGAATTTGGATGTTGTCGTCCTCAAATTAGTGTTCTTTAGCCTTCAGGTGTAGGTGAACAGCTGATTCCTGTCCTGGCTCAACACAGGAGGGCAACTCCCCAGGATAAAACTCAGCTGTTCACCTACAACTGAGGGCTAAATTTAGAGTTGAGGCTACTGTGATGCTCATCAACTTTTTATGAAAGTTTTCCTGAGGGATCGAAGAATGACTCCTCAAATGCAGCATATAGCAATTGTAGCATAAAACAGATTTCAAAAGCTTTATAGGCATTTATTTATTATTATGAGATAACCTCTCTTATGGGCAACCGAAGAACATTCTTTTTGACTTATGCTAATCAAATTGTGTAGAAGACAGATACAGGAGGAAAAGCCAGATATCCTGCTTCCCAAGGGATACTCCCTCTTCAGCTCTATACGTTATACATTATACATCTCTTCAGGTAAGAAAGGATAGCCCTTGGTCCCTACTGATCACACCAGACAGGAGTAGTGTGTCTATTTCTGCAATTTCTATCAAGTTCTAACTCTTTCCAATTATACCTTTAAAACAAAGATATTTGAACTCCTTCCCTTAAATTGAATCACAATTCGCAATGAGATTTTCAGTATGTAAAATCAGTCAGATTGTCATTTCCAACACCTCAGCTCAAGTTTTTCCAGCTGATCTATGTCCCACTAATTGTTAATATGACTGTTAAATTCAAAATGGTACAAATCCATCTAGTCTAACTAGACTACCAATTAAACTTTAGCAAACCTGGATAACTCCAGCAAAAACCTGACATCTCCTCCTACCATCCCTTAAAATTAAAAAAGCTGTGTTAAAATGTTCTATACCGGTATATTGTTGTTGTTTTTTTAAGACTTTGCTATGTTTTTTGGATCTCACACATTTGCCTTTCTTCTGTCAGTGCAGATTGTTGCATCTATGTTTGTTTCTGTTATTGCTATACAAGCAGAATCCTATTACCTTGCTATTTCTCTGATATTGAAGTCACTGCCTCTGCAAGGATCAAAATTCTTAGTATTAGCTTAATATTCTGCAGGTGAAATAATAATCTAGCTTGAAGCAAGAATGAGCTGCAAATCAATGTCTACTCTCCTCCCTTTTCAGATTGCTTTCTTCCCCACAAATAGATACTTTAAAGGTTGTTTTCTCCATGCTCTCATGGCAGACAGTCAAAACAATTACGCACTAACTATATGTTCCCATTAATTATTAAAACTGAATTATATAATTTGCATAAGGAGTTACTAATGAGTCTTCTTTGTGATATGCTGTGTCATGCCTGATAATAAGGGAGAACCCTGCACCATGAGAAAATGACCTATTCAGCAATAGCATATTCAAATGATTATGTTTTTTTCTTCTTTTGTCTCATTTATCAAAATGTAAATTTTTTAAATGAACCACTAATTCAATTCCTTATCCAACCCTGATAGTAAATGTGTGTGTATGCTCTGCTTCTAAAAGAGCATGTAGCAGCTTAGTGAGAACGGACAGCAAGGATGAAGAAGGGAGAAAGAAATCCAGATGTGTGCAACTCATATAGCCAAATGGTGAAACATTTCTTGCTGAAAGATGCTCTCCATCAAAGTGCTCATTCAGTTTGGTTGATATCTTTGGCATCAGCTAGCTACTTAAAGCAAAAATGCAGCACTCGCTGTGAGAAGAGTTACCAGTGTGGGTTTCTGAAAAGCTTAGGAGCAGAGACGACACATCCATTTTTCCCCCCAGCTTGAAATGGACTAGATGCTACTATCCCAGCAGCTAATGCAGAAAAAACTATTCTTGATGCACTGTAAATAACGACTGTCATAAAAAAAAATCCAGCAGCTAGAGGATTGCTGACTATTGCAGTTCTTTTACCAAAATAGTAAATCATAAATAAACCAATTAAATGTATAAATCGCCAAACTCAATTAAGATGCTTTACAGATACCCAGAAAATGCTGTCTATCAGACTCACAGTTGCTGATTTCAAAATCTCAATTTTCTTCTCCTGCATGTGTTAAATAAACATATCCTGCAAATGTACTGTGTTTGTCATCAATCTACCACTGGCTTCTCTGCTGAAGCACAGATATTAGAGAAAAACCAATAAATGGGCTACAGATGGCCACCTTATCTGGATCTGGTCTGATCCTAACAACAAAGCTGCTCTAAAAATATCATGAACTGGCAGTTCATGATAATTTTATCAAATTTTATCAAAACAAAGTAAAGGTTATGAAAACATGTTTCGATGCATTAAACACAACCACCAAATTCTATAATTCCTTATTTTCTGTAGGATCACACCCTTTCAATTGGATCATATAACCTGCAAAGAAATTGTGTAATGCTTCTCAAGTAACCATCTACTTAAAGTACTTTTAGGCAGAGTTTCACTCATTCAGCTCCACTCACCATGTTTACACTATCAAACATTGATACACAGATCAATAGCAAACTTAGGGTTCTCTTCCTTGCCCAATTGCACATCAATATGCCTCAAGGTGTGGCTGGAATAAAACCCACAACTTTCTAATTGCAAACCTTTTCTTCCCTCTGAGCCTCAGCTGATCAATATGTGTAATAATAATACTTCAATAAATCAAATATAATCATTTAAATCAAACTTGCCATGTAATTTAATATTGGTACCTGTTAGGAAAAGCTACACCAACGAATCTTTTTCAAATTACTTTATTATAACACAGAGAACAAAATGGCAGAAGTGGATTAAGAATAATTTAGAAGTTATGTAAAAAGTTGCGCACATTTACTTGTCCAGCTGTAATTTGACATGGTTAGTCTTATTGAAAAGCTGTGCAATCTTCCCACACCTTTTAAACCAATTTTGGTACAGTCAGGTACTCCTGAAACCTTAAGGACCTTTTTCTACAAATTGTTCTAATGTTTTTATCCACTTCCTGATGCATATATTGGCTTTAGCAAAACATCCTCATCCTTCATGGTCAGTATAAGGAACATTTTGGCACCTAGTAATAATGTCATATTGACCTCATTGTTTCCTGTCCAAGCATTATTCTAGAGCTATATGTCTACTAAGCTGTTGTTGCTTTCTAGTCAGGCTATTTCTTGTAGTTTTACTTTAACATATTACCAGTAAAATCCGATTAGACTGAACTCTCGTTAAATCTGTTTTTCTGCGCCGCTAGAACCGTGCGTAATAGCAAAGATAGGGTCCATAGATTTGATGAAAAAAAAAAAAAAAAAATACAACAATTGTTATGCTTACCATGTCGGTCTTTTCCTTTTTAAGTAGAAGCCCTCTTAACTGTCGATAATTACAAACGGGGTGCAGGAAAAACGCAGCAAACTGGCCGACATTTACGCACGCCCGCTGCAAACAGTTGGGAGGATGAGGATCAATCTCATTCGGAGTATCAGCTTCTGCAGATGTTTCACCAGTATTCTCTGCACCGAGGGTTGCTTTAGCGGATGCTCCTGTTTGGGCACTGCTGTCCAGCTGGAAAAGTGTCCGAAGAACTTGGTAAATCTCACAGTAAGTGGCATAATACTGCGAACCGCAGTCGGCTGTAAGGTGTCTCCGTCTCCTCCCGCAAAGAAACCAGATGATGCGCTGCACTTTTTTTATATATAGGCTATATATGTAGATAATTCAGCCTCTAGCATTTAGATCTGCCGGTAAGATTTAAGTTTGGTTTCATGGGAGAGCGCGTACTGCATGCCCCCTCCCCAAAGAAACAACACCCACTCACAAAAAAAACAGAAAAGAAAAAGAAAACACAGAAAGCGAGTGAGGCAATAGGCTGTTACGACCCCGTGGATCCACAGAGGACTCGATAGTCCAGGTCAGCAGTGTATGTATTTCCATGTTACGCAATCACACCACCACACATACAACACACACATACATGTATAAGAGCCAGCTATAGTTTATAGTTTGTTTTTTTTTACCACATTTTTATTTCTAACACAACAATTCCAGAAACTATTTTATTTCTCTTTGTTAGTATTTTGATGTATTAAGCAAATAAATATGTATCTATGCAACGTTTTGTTAATAAATTACCAAACTTTTCATTTAAGTTATTAGCTAACATCTAACGGGGAATGTCTGAACGGTTTCTCAAAGATTTAATAACACAATACCAATCAAACAGGATTTAATGTTGTGTTATGGCCATTACCATGATGAGGAACAATGTGTATATAGCAGCTGTCCAACAAAGGTGGTGTCCAATTATATAAGGACAAGCCAAAAAATAGATAACAAATTTGAAATTAAGAATTTCTCAATCCAGAATTTAGTAACTGCTAAATAGACTAGCAGTCCTCAAAGGGATTCATTCAAAAATAATTAAAGCTACAGTGTGTAATGATTACAGGGATATACAGTCAGAAATGTAATATATTATACATAACTATGTTATTTTATCATCATCTACGAGCTCAGCCTCTTAACCTTAATATTTGCGTTGCCTTAGAATTCGTTATTTATAATTACATACAGTAGGAGCGGGTCTTGCAGCCATGGAGGCAGACATCTTTGCGCTACGGCAGCGCAGAGCCAACAAACTAGCGATTGCGAGATCGCCCATTACGCTCGAAAGTAACTACGGCAAGTTGTTTAAGTCTACATGAAATCTATACCCTACACAGACTAATGAAATACTATCTGTAAAATTATCCATGTAAACAAACCTCATCACTTGAGAAGGTAGGTGATGCGGACGTCGTGGAAGACATTTTGTCCCGTAACGCTCGCCGTACTGTTGGGGGGGAGAAGCGGTGGGGGGGAGATGTTCATGTTGCTGCGGTCTGCAGTCTGGACGTTAGATGTCGCTGAAAACTACAGACTGTAGCTTTAATGGAAAGTTTTGTGGAAGGAAAAGCTGTGGTTTAAGCTGCAGAAGCATGACAGTGGCCTTAAAAATATTTGAATCAAATTATTTTTCATAAGCACAGAACTAGGGAAGAAAGCCTTTTGCTAGGCAGCTCCTTTTGCGTATATTTTTTTTTTTTACAAAGAAACTGGAAGTTGACTGAGTTTTTATCTTTAAATGCTTTTAAGTTTAAAGTGAGAGAATTTGAAGCAGCCTCTATGATCTGTAATTGTTTTGATATGTTTTTTGTTATGTACCTGCCATTTAATTTAATGTATCTCTGTTTCTTATGTAATGTTGCTGCCTCTTGGCCAGGACTCCCTTGAAAAAGAGGTTTTTAATCTCAGTGGGATTTTTTTTTCCTGGTTAAAAAAGGTTAAATGAAAAATAAATAAATAAAAATAAGGTTGAGGGAGATTTACAAGCACTCCACTGCCACTGTATTCAGAGTTACAAGAGCCACCACTCAGAAATATCAGTTAAAAGGGCTATAATTGTTAATTTTTTTAAACCACTCTGGAGATAGTCATGGGCACCTTGGCTGAGGATAAAATGGACTTGATTGTTGCTTGGTGGTCCAAACTGTTATAGCTTAAAGTAAATTTAAATTTTTATTTGGATATCAAGATACCACGCTCAAGTTTATGGAGATGCTGAATGCATCATTTTGTGCTTCACTTTGATTTTGCTGCAAAATCCCATTTGATACTCTGAGATATTTTATTATATGGTAAAGATTTCATGAAGAGTAACAAATGCTGCAGAGATTGGTTAGTAGTGCATTTTAACAGAAGTGTCAAAACATTTATCAGATTGCTGTTATTTTTGGTGACCTTCCATTAAGAGCTGTTGTGTACTCTATGACATTAGTTCATTTTTTTCTAAGAGGAAAAAAGCAACCCTATGTAGTTTTGGCAATAAATAGTTGAAGTTAATCATGTAGTAACTTACTCTCTGTTCTAAATCCAGTTTTTCAACGATTTTTCAAGAGAAACAACAAGAAAAAAAAACAACAAACATTTAATTCAATTCAGTTTATTTCTATAGCGCCAATTCACAACACATGTCATCTCAAGGCACTTTACAGTTCACCAGATTGTACAGTCAAATTGATTCAGAGTTTTCTATCTAAGGAAAACCATTGATTGCATTGACTGGGATGAAATCCCTCACACTAAGCATGCTTGTAGCAACAGTGGAGAGGAAAAACTCCCTTTTAACAGGAAGAAACCTCCAGCAGAACCAGGCTCAGTGTGAGCGGCCATCTGCT